ATAGGTTCTCTCTCACACTCTCTTACTATGCTTAGAAATAGTTCAAAAACTATGGCCATTCAACTCATTTTTCACACTCTAAACAGAGAGGCTCCCTCTTCTCTTCCTTGGATAAACCCTGCACGTGTGCTATTCACTCATTCATTTGTTCACTCAATAAACTATTAGAGGCAAACGTTAAGCCATGTGGTAGGGCCAAAGACATGAATAGGACCCAATTCCTATGCTCAAGAAACTTGTGGTCTAGTTGTGGAGGCAAACATGGTGACAAGTTGTTATAAAAGCCATGTGGCAAATAAAAGATGGAAATAGGATCAAGGACTACGTAAGCCCCAGTTAGAGGCATCAGAAATGTGTTTGTGGAGAAAAAGACTGGAGCTGTGGCTTAAAGGACGAGCAGAAAATCGACCAGAAGGGATAAAGGGAAAGTATAAATCATAGAGGCAGAACACACAAAGTCAGCACAGCAGGACTGCAAAGGTTCAGCTACTCTGGGGGAAAAAGCACAAGGAGAAACCAGCGAGATCTGAGCTAGGAAAATGAGGCAGTAACCAGGTAGAGAAGAGCCTACAGCACGTTTACGGAGCTTGAACTCACAGGGCAAAGTGGTTACAGAAATGTTTGAGGAGGGAACTAGCAGGATCAGAGATGCATTTCAGTTACATTTTGTGGTTGCACAGAAGAGCCAGCTCAGGCTGTCTGGATCAGGTCAAGGCTAGTATAAACAGTAGGGATGCAAAGAAGAGGTCTCAGAATCAAGACAATTTAGGAGGTAAAATGGGCGGGGCTTGGTGATTATTGGGGATACGGAGAATGAGACACAGTGGGGGAAAGAACAGAGCAAGAGATGATTAAGTGTAGGAAGATAATGAACATCATATGTTGATACTTCAGTGTATAGGTTCTAGAATCTGGCAGATAAGGGTTTAAATCTGTATTGTCACTTACTTGCTGTATGACTCTGTAAGTTACTTTAACCCCTTCAAGCTTTGGTCCCCTTATAAGTAAAAATAATATGAGAACCTACCTCACAGGGTCATTGTAAGAACTAAGTGAAATCATATTAATTATTAAGGGATTTGAAAATTATTATGTACCTACCTGCATCCAGGGTACATCTGTGGTCATGTCTACCTTTTCTCCTATTATAATGGATGAAACGTGCATGATTCTAGGCAAGGCCAACCCTTCTAACTGTGCACAAGAACCCATTTTTTCTGGCCTACATCAGCCCATCAATTCTTGGCTCTCGGCCCTCCATAGTCCATTCTGCCCTCTCTAGTCACTCCTATGAGCACTCATATACACTGTCAACTCTCCCATTAAAAAATATAAAACTTTCTCTTGGCCCAATTTCTCTCTGGCTACCACCCTGGTTCTTTCTTTTCCTTTGCAGCAAACCTCCCTGAGTCACTCTCTCTCTTCCCACTCTTCAAAATACGGAACTGAACTTTCTCCTCCCTAACTCCATCACAAGCACCCTTTGCTTAGTCACCAATGATCTCTATGTTGCCAGACCCAATGTTCACAGCTTGCTTGAGCCACAAATTGCATTAGCCATACTTACTTCTCCTTGAAACACTTTTTTGGGGCACCTGGGTGGCTCAGTGGGTTAAGCGTCCAACTCATGGTTTCAGCTCAGGTCATGATCTCACGGGTCATGGGATGGAGCCCCACATCAGGCTCTGCACTGAGAGCATGGAGCCTGCTTCAGATTCTCTCTCTCCCTCTCCCATGTACTCTCGCTTTCTCAAAATAAATAAACTTAAAAAAAAAAAAAAACATTTTCTTCACTTGATTCCTGGTAACCAGACTTTCTGCAATTTCTTCCATCTCTCTGACCATCTTTTTCCAGTATCCTTTGTTAGTTATTTTTCACATTTCCAGCCTCTAACTACATTCAAGGGCTCATCTGTCTTCTCTCTCCACTCAGCAATCTCATCAAGTCGCATGGCTTGATCAACCCAAAAATCCCTCTCTACTCTTGACCAATCCCCCTGAAGCCCGACTCCCATGTCAAACTGTCTACTCAATATCTCCACTTGGATGACTAACATGCTTTTCAAGCTTAATGTGCCTAGAAGTTCCTCCAAAACCTGCTCTTTCCCAGTGTTCCCTGTATTAGTAAACAGAAACTCCATTCTTGGCATAGCTTCTGCCTAGGACTGAGTAGTAACTTGAATGAGACAACTCTCCTACAGGAATAACTGTAAAAGCTGAAAATAAAAACAAAAACAAAAACCACACAGGTTGTGTGAAGGCCCTAGAGAATAACCAAACCTGTGGACATGAGGGATTGGGATCCCAGGAAGAAAATACACAGGGACACGGAACTTCTCCATTGCTTTTCTTCCAGGGCATTTACAGAGTTCCAGAGAAGGGCATTTACAGGCAAGCAGAAAGCAATGGTCTAGCGATGTCAGATCTAGGGAGATAGAAATTAGAGCTGAGAAATGCAGACAGAACTTGAAGGGACAAGACCCCGACGAAGGTGGATCACAGAGAAGTAAGCCTGACAATTTGTTTGGTTTTTATCGGCATTTGCTAAATTCTAAGCTGCAAGGACACTAGAAATCAAGAAACAAAGGCGCTGCAGTGGCTAAAATGGTAAGCAGACTTTTCAATAACTTCACAGAGTTGGGAACACAAAAATGAGAGTTCAAGGGCCCCCAAAGATGGGGACCTGTTGAACACCCCAGGCTTTCTGTTGAGATTCCTAAAGGCCTGTGCTCTGGGATAAGGGCAAACCAGAAAGTAATCAGCCCTCCTAAAGCCTGAATTCTTGATTAAAAGTCATCTGCTCCTACTCTAATTGGGAGCTGGAATAAAATTACATCCTCTAGAAAAAGAGTACATCTGCCGGAGCACCTCTGCAATTTTTTCTACACAATCTTCAACATTTAGTCATAAATTTTAGCATGATCTTTAACTCCTTTCTTTCTCTACTGCCCAATTTCTTTTTTTTTTTTTTCTTGTGAATTTTTCATTGGGATATAAGGGATGAATTAGGAACTGTCTTGTGGGTTATGCCCCACCAGGTAAATGTCCAATCTTGTCTTCCTGGGATAACTTCTGGAGCCTTTTCTTGTTCTTGGAGCTCCTGCTCTTGCTGAAAGCAGCCCCTTCCAGCCCACTGCTGAGTGGCTCCTCCTTGGAAGAGAATTTCCTCTTTTTCTTGGGGAGGCTCCCATTTCCTGCCTCTTCAGCATCACTAACTGGTTCCTCTTTGGTCTAATGCCCCATTTCTACTCCATCTGTTTCTACTTTCAAAACAGATTCAGGATCTCTCTGACCACATCCCACCCCTCCATTGCCTGGTCCCTGATCCAAACCGCTTTCTCAGCCAGCCTTACTGGTACTCTGCTTCTCTTTGCCCCACTTCAGCCTATTCTCAACCCAGCAGCTAGAATAGAAATGCTTTAAAAAAAAAAAATTCAAATTATGTCCCAATAATCAAAACCCTCTGGGGCTTTTAACCTCAGAATAAAAGTTCATCTTTATGCTGACCTACAAGGCACAAAGATCTGAACTCATTACCTCTGACGTCATCTCCTGATGCTCTCCTCTGCTCCACCCACCCTAGCCTCCTTACTCTTACCCTTGAACACACCTGGTTTGTATGTGCCTGAGAACTTGGCACTGACTGCGTCTTGGAATGTTAGTCCCCAGTTTCACGGCTTCACCTCCTTCACATCTTTATTCAAAGGCTCCCTTCTCAGTGAAGCCTTCCCTGACCAATCTGAAATCTCTAGGTCCCCCTCCACCTCTGACACCTCCTGGCCTGTGGTTTCTCCTTAGCTCTTGGAATTATCAAACATATGTATTTACTCACTTAGAGTTCTCCAAAGGCCCCTTGGGCTTTTGAGCCTTTGATCAAGCCATTCTGAATGCACTTCCCCCCAAGACCTTCACCAGTAAAAACACTGTCACCCGTCAGACACAACTAAAAATGTCACTTTCTCTTGTAATCGTTATCCTAAGTTACCACGAAATTCAGTAATCAGACCTCAAATCTTCACGCAGTGTTTTTACCTCTAGCACTGCCTACACATCTCTGTTAGGATTATTTATACGATACCTACACTAGCTTTCGGTCTTAATCTTCAAAGTACAGGAGGAATTTAGATCTCAATATAACCGCTTATCATTCCCCAGCACAGTTCTAAGTATTTTATACTTATTAACACTTTGAATCCTCATGACAAACCCTTATAAATTCTCTTACCCTCATTTTACAGATCAGGAGAATGAAGCGCAAAAGCATTAACTTGCCAGAGGTCGTGGGCCTCGCATACGGCAGAACGTGAGTTCAACTCCGCACAGCACTTGGCTGAACTGAGGGAGTACATGCACGTGCAAATAACTGATCGGCCGGGGATACACACACTTCACATACAAGAACTCTAACATTTTTAACGTTGTTCATACTAAAACTAAAGCACCTGCATTTCGAAGCGCAGACCCCACCCCATGATGCTTCGTTCTCCAGAGTCTGGAGCCTGACAGATTATGATATAGGAGGCCTAAAAGAAAGACTCAACAAAGCACCCACCCCTCTGCCAAAATTAGGGGTCTGAGGGGCGGCCCCTGCAGCTCCGCGCATCCGTGGGTCCTCTGAGGTGCTCGCAACAGAGCGGTAGGCGAAGGAAGGCGGGAAATGCAGACAGGGCTGCTGAGCGCGGCGGCAGCCCACCCCGGAGGCGCAGGGGTGGCGGTGCTGGGAGACGCCAAGAAGCCCTCCCCCGGCCCTGGCAGGTAACAGAGCTGGGAGCCCGGGTGCCACGTGTGTGCGATGACAGGTGAGCAGCGCCAGGTAGCGGCGCGACGGGAGCAGAAACGGCCGAGGGCACCCCTTAAGGAACGGGAGCACGTGGGCCTGGGAGAATGGCGCCGAAAAGCCAGACTCCAAACTGGGGACGAGGACGGCCGCGGTGGCTGCCAAGATCCTCAACACCTCCCTGCCCGACTCGCCCGGGAGAGAGCTCCTAAGCCGCACACGCACCTTCCGGGGAGGCGTGCGCGCGCGCGCGCGCATGCGGAGGCAAGAGCCGGAAGTTCCCCTGAGAACGGGCCTTCCCGCGAAAACCGCCGGCCGGAACTGCCAGGAGGTCCCGCCTCCGGGCGGAACTCCGGGTTGCCGGGCAACCGCGGAGGGAGACGCAGGCTGGCTCAGTGTTCCGTGGGGAAAGCCGAGTGTAGCTCCCACCTCCTGTCCTGGCAACTTCCTTTCCCGGCCGCCTTCCTTCTTGCCGCCTCTCCTTGCGTCGGGGAATCCCTGCCCTTGGCAATACGTACACCTCTCCGGCTCCCAAGACCGCTTAGCGCCCACCTGCTTGAAAGCCGGTATTCACCCGAAGCGGAGCGACCTGGCCCCGGGCGTGGCCTCCACGCTGACCGACCGCACCTGCTCGGCCATGGGCACCTACACCTACACCTACACCAGCCGGCCTCGGGCCCTGCCCTGCCAGCGCCGCCGTTACCGGGACCACCTGATGCAGCTGTGAGTGAGCAACCGGCCCCCTGAGTGGTCTCCACCTGCCCCCATCCCGGGACCTCGGGATTCTGGCCCCTTCGCCCTGGCGACTCTGCCCACGCTGCTCTCCCCACTCCACAGCCTCCGAAATAAAATCTCTTCCCTAAAGAACTCCCCCGTGGCGTGGAGGAATGAAGCAAGAAGGGGCACGGGTGGCCTCCCTTAGTTAACTTTTAGTGATATGAGTTGCTGGCATGATCAATAACATGTACATGAAACCCCCTTGTTTCACAACGTTTGAGTCACTATTGTTGGCCAACTATCCGCACCTCTCTAAGGGCATTCATGTACGTTTTCTTCCTTAGTCCACAGTACTGTGAAGTTGGTTTTGTAACTCCCATTATGCACATGAAGAAACAGACTGAAAGCCAAATAAAGCTCTTTGCACGCCAGTCTTTGGCCAGGAATCATCAGGTCATCCTTCCATGCTGGACCCCAAATTGTATTTTTACATTAATGCGTTTATTTGCAAATATTCAAATATCCATATGTATTATTATCCATAATAACGTTTACGGCCCTTTCTAAAGCTTATAGTTCCTGCTATAAGCCTCAAATTTTGGAACCAGCAGAACTGCCCAAGAATGCAGACTCCCTGGAAGCTGAAACCTTTGTTGTCTTTTGTCCACCTGGGACTGTGCCTGACATACAGGGAGCACTCAAAACAAATTGTTGAATTAATGACTGAACATATCAGCTAAGTAACTCTTGATGCTTATTTCAAACATTTAGTCTAAATTCGTAATTGTCTTATGACAAATAAAAACCTTGTTTATAAGAAATGCTTGTCATGGGGCGCCTGGCTGGCTCAGTCAATGGAGCATGCAACTCTTGATCTCGGGATTGTGGGTTCGACCCCCATGTTGGGTGTAGAGGTTACTTTAAAAAAATAAAATAAAATTTTTTTAAAAAAAGAAAGAAAGAAAAAATTCCTGTCACTTTAAGGAAACCAGGATGGAAAATTTAAATTTATAGATGGATTATTTATACTGTAAAAGGTTTCAACTTAAAAACACTTTCAAAAACACTTTCTGGTGTCTTTAAGTGTTGCTTACAAATCATTACTAGTAAATTACACCAACAATGAAATAAGAATAAATGGTGTTTCATTAGGAATGGTTTTTTTTCATAGCTAGTTGATAAGCAACTTGTAGGACCTTGTTTATATTGAAGCAATCCATTGATTACAACCATTGGAAGGAGTGTGTATGTGCATGTGTTTGATTTTTCAGTTTAAAATTATCAGTGGTGGTTTTCAGTTTATAAAATTAATGAATGCTTGTTGAAGCAAATGAAAAATACAAAATAAGAATGAAAAAGGCAAATGAACTCCCACCCACCTCTATTCCCACTTCCCTTAACAATCTTATATTATTCCTCTACACCTCTGTACTTGAGGATATGTACCTTATATAGGAGGTTTATTTCCGAAATAGAATCATACTACACATATTAATCTGTAATTAGCTTCCTCCCTGCTTTTTACAACCTCTAATTCTTTTTTTTTCCTAATTTCTTTATGTATACATACACATATTTAATTTTATATAAATAGAATGCTATCATTTATGCTTGGGTACATTCTTAGTGCACCACCCTCTTCCCTTGTAAACCTGCTCTTCCCTTCCTGCCCAGAGAGTAAACCATGTTAATGACCTTACATGAATGTTTCTGGACTTTTCTCCATATTTGCGTTTGTGTACAAATATATAAGTGTATACATACAAGTACACACAGGAGTTTTGTCAACTTCTTAGCAATGATAACATAGACAATTCTCAACATCTTCCTTTTCTCAGTTAATTCTTTCTAGAAATCTTCCCAATTATTTTCAATAGCATGATGTGTCCTATACGGATGTACAACGTGTTACTAAAATTTTCCACTATTGATAGATATTGGTAGATATTCAGATATTCACATATTTTCCACTATTGATATTGATAGATACTCCGTTTGCTTCAAGTTTTTAACACAAAGAGGAAGATTTCAATAAACAACTTCATATGCTGGCCTTTTGATTTCTATGAAGCAGATTCCCAGGATGGGATTGTTAGGTCACGAATATTTTTAACATGAACAGATGGAATGATATGCCTTTCCTTTAGGAATGTTTAAACATATCTTTTTCCATACATCCTCACCAGCAATAGGTGGTAGGGATTTTTCTTTCTTTTTGGCTTTTGATAGTGTAAAAACAAAACTAAGATGTTTTCTCATTATTATATTAATTAGCACTAGGAGGTTTTAATCAAGTGAGCGTCATGTTTAGATTATTCTATTTTAAAAGACCGCTGGATACAACGTATAGAACAAACTGAGGGAGAAATGTTAACAGTTAAGAGACTGAAAGAGTTTTGAAGTAGTCCACGTAAAAGACAGTGGTGGCAATGAGCAATGGATAGATGTGAAAAAGATTTGGGGAGGAGAATCAATAGGACTGCTAGGATACAGGGAGTGAGGAAGAAAGAAGAACCACGGATGACTCCCAGGCTTCTAGATTAAGCCAATTGGGTGGTTAGCAGTACCATATAATGAAACAGAGAACACTAAAGAAGTAACAATTTGGAGTGGGAGAGTGATAATTGGTTCAATTTTGAGGTTGCTTTTGAGATATCTCAGTGAGATGTCATTGAACATTATCAATTGGATATACATTCCTAGAGCTCAGAGGAGAGTTCTGAGCTAAAGGTGAAATAAAATAGGGAGTTTTAGGTATAAGGATTATGAGTGAAGTCTTTTGAGAATGGATATGGTCGACTAAGGCAAGAGAAGGCTGAGCCCTGAGGAAATCCTTCAGTATAGGAGGAGCTAGCCAATGCAGGCTGAGAAAGAACAGTTAAAGAAGTCCTAGAAAAGACAATCAGAAGACTATGGTAGTGCCACAGAGGCTAGAAAAGAGAGTGCTTCAGTGAAGGAGTGGCCAACTGAGCTGAACACTTCCCAGGGATCAAGTAAAATGCACAGTGTAACACGTCTGGGTTGTAAGTAACATGAAGTCAGGTTATCCAACAGTGGTTTCAATATATGATAAAAAAGCAACTTACTACCCTTCTCAAAATCATTTCTGATGGAGTACTATTATTGTGTAGGTCAATATTTTGTTTCATAGCCATACATAGGATATCATTTTAAAGAACTTTAAATCAGGGACACCTCGGTGGCTCAGTTGGTTAAGAGTCCAACTTCGGCTCAGGTCATGATCTCACAGTTCGTGGGTTCGAGCCCCGCGTTGGGCTCTGAGCTGACAGCTCAGAGCCTGGAGCCTGCTTCAGATTCTGTGTCTCCCTTGCTCCCCGCCCCTCCCCCACTCACACTCTGTCCCTCTCTCTCAAAAATAAACACTGAAAAAAACTTTTTAAAAGAACTTTGAATTAAAACATCAATTCTATGTTTTTCACTATTCACTATTGATATTCTGATCCCCCAGATTAAAATTTTATTAACATTTAAAACAATATCATTTGTGGGACACCTGGGTGGCTCAGTCAGTTAAGCAGTCAGTTAAGTGTCTGACTTCAGCTCAGGTCATGATCTCACGGTTCATGAGTTCGAGCCCTGCATCCGGCTTTATGCTGACAGCTCAGAGCCTGGAGCCTGCTTCTACCCTACTCGCCCCTACCCTACTCTCTGCCCCTACCCTACTTGCACTCTGTCTGTGTCTCTCAAAAATGAATAAACGTTAAATAAAAAATATATATCATTTGAAAATACATCTCTTTTTTTGCCTATGTGAGATAAAAGGTTTTATTTTTTTAATTAATAATTTATTTTTTAATTTGCATCCAAGTTAGTTAGCATATGGTGCAATAATGATTTCAGGAGTAGATTCCTTAATGCCCATTACCCATTTAGCCCATTCCCCTTCCCACAACCCCTCCAGTAACCCTCAGTTTGTTCTCCATATTTATGAGTCTCTTCTGTTTTGTCCCCCTCCCTGTTTTTATATTACTTTTGCTTCCCTTCCCTTATGTTCATCTGTTTTGTCTCTTAAAGTCCTCATATGAGTGAAGTCATATGATTTTTGTCTTTCTCTGACTAATTTCACTTAGCATAATACCCTCCAGTTCCATCCACATAGTTGCAAATGGCAAGACTTCATTCTTTTTCATTGCTGAGTAATACTCCATTGGATATGTGTGTGTGTGTGTATATATATATATATATATATATATATATACCACATCTTTATCCATTCACCCATCAATGGACATTTGGGCTCTTTCCATACTTTGGTTATTGTTGATAGTGCTGCTATAAGCATGGGGGTGCATGTGCCCCTTCGAAACAGCACACCTGTATCCCTTAGATAGATGCCTCGTAGGGCAATTGCTGGGTTGTAGGGTAGTTCTATTTTCAGTTTTTTGAGGAGCCTCCATACGTTTTCCAGAGTGGCTGCACCAGCTTGCATTCCCACCAATAATGCAAAAGAGAGCCTCTTTCTCCACATCCTCGCCAACCTCTGTTGTCACCTGAGTTGTTACTGTTAGCCATTCTGACAGGTGTGAGGTGGTATCTCATTGTGGTTTTGATTTGTATTTCCCTGATGATCAGTGATGCTGAGCATTTTTTCATGTGTCGGTTGGCCATCTGGATTTCTTCTTTGGAGAAGTGTCTATTCATGTCTTTTGCCCATTTCTTCACTGGATTATTTGTTTTTTGGGTGTTGAGTTTGAGAAGTTCTCTATAGATTTTGGATCCTAACCCTTTATCTGATATGCCATTTGCAAATATCTTCTCGCATTCTGTCGGTTGC